TATGTCATTCCCATGCGAAACACAGGGTCACCAACTTGGCGTATGTGGGACAAAGAAAGGCATAGGCGCACGAGCAGGGTTGGGCAGAAATACTCAAAAATGTATTTGGAAATACAAATACTGGTATACATTGAAATGGTAGCTAAAATACTGATACTAAGATACATCTGTAAAAATGTATCGCGATACGTATCGGAAATACATTTTAAAAAGAGGCGAAAAGTATTTGAAAATACAAATGCAGGAATACATTTTAGGGAGGGCAGAAATACAAATACAGAAATACTGATACTGAAATACATTTTTCAAATTTTTTGAGACGCCAACTGAGATGAAGCTTGAAGTTTGAAGTGGATGTTTTCGATCCCGAAATTACGTTCCCGTAGGCTTGGCACTTTGCCTTGAAGGTAGTGGTTTCGGACGACAAAGAGTCTTCAATGGGCCCAAAAAAACGTTCCAACAATTGCTGACCGCGGTCCCTTCCATGACATCCTGTCTGTCTGACGAGGGAATCCTGTCAACATTGATCAAATTATGTCACGGCGGAATGAACTAGAATTCTTTATCTGTAGGTGTGGCCTTGAACATGAAACTTTACCACGCTGCTGTATGAAAGTACAATGCGCACTTTCGTTCTAGGCTACCTAGCTGAAGATCGTGCATGCAGTGTCATTTGGAATTTTTGAGAATAGTGGACCACCTGAAGAATCTTGGAATACATGTCTTATCTTCTGTTTTACAGTTGAAAAAACGATACGGTAGCATCCCTGTTCTGAAGGTCCTTACTACCGACCCTCCGCCACCGACGCACGGATTGCTGTCCTCAAGTTTTGCCTAGCATTATCCAAACAGAGACCTCGTGGATTACGAGCTGATATTGCCGGCACAGGTGCGAGCTGTCCAAGAAACGGCGGTCTCGAGACTAGTTGCGGGAGTACGTAGTCTGGGATGGCACAGCGATGCCACTTCTGGCCTCCTTCTGGGTTTCGGATCACCAGAGCAGCGGGTCTTGTTCACGTCGGCTGATGACGTACCCTTGAGCCGTGCAATGTTACGGGCGCAGCCGCAGATGCATTCGGATATGTGTTGAACTTCACAGCATGAGTCTTCCTACTATTTCAAGTCAGCCACCGCCTGGCTCGTGCTGCAACGGAATGTGACTCAGCTTTTCCGGCAGAGTGTACTCTGTACGCTAAGGCGAGAGAGACGGTTAGCAGCGGGCATTGGATGCCAGGAAACAATGACTCAAGAAATCCCTACCTAAAGACCTGCGGCAGAAGATGCTCTGACTCCACTCCTGGCACGCCACCTGGTTCGAGTTTCCCACTACGCAACACTTCTCAGAAGAGAGAAGAGGACTAATAGAAAAATAGTTTGCAGAATCAAAAGGAACTAATTGGTCAGCATAGTAACAATACCCCAGCATCTCCTTGACTCTGGTGCCCTTAGAAGTAAAAAAAAAAAAAAGCTTTCGAACTTGTTTCTTTTTTTTTTTTCGGGGGGGGGGGGGGGGGGGGAGTATTTCTCAAGAATTGTAACGAAATACACTTCATCGTGATTGTATCGCGATACAAAGGAACATTCAAAATGTATTTCGATACAGGTATACAGATACTGGTGAAAAAAATGTATCGCGATACAGAAATACAGATACGAAATGTATTTCTGAAATACTATCGCGAGACATTTGTATCGCGATACTGCCCAACCCTGCGCACGAATAGCCGTGTGTGGAACTGTGAGAGACATCTGTGCCAGCAAGTCAGGGCTGTCAATAATATCGCGAATGGCTTTAAAAAAAAATGATAAAAGATCTGCCTTTTGTCAGTGTTCATGCAAGGTAGATAAATGAAAGTCCCCTATCAAACAGTCATTGCGCAAAAAAAGATGAGTAGTAACACAAGTAACGGTGTTTATAAATTGGCAAGAACCTATGTTGAACTCTCTGCTGGGACAAATGCCGTTCCAGGATAACTTGGCAATATGGAGGCTGCGGCCCCCGCGACCCAATAATAGTGTCGCAGCAAGTCACGTGATAACACTCTATGGTCGAGGCCACGGAGGCCACGTTACCGCCGCAGTAACAGAGCCCTTCGCGACATAAGTAGTTCTAGGCTCCTTTTTCCTTGAACGGCTATTGAACTCTAGCGATTCCATCTATAACGAGAAAATAAGAAGAATAAAGAATAAATAATCACATATCTATGCGTTCTAATTATATTTAAACAAACAAAAAAAGTGACGCCACATTCGTATCCCCTCGATTTTTTTCGCCTTGTAGCGCCATGGCCGCTGGCGATCGCCAGCGATTGCAGCCGTGTAATCGGCCGTTTCCGCTCAAAACACCGCACTGTGCCCTGGCATTAGCACCTATCACAGATTCGCGGCTAAATTGGGCATATCATTAAAGAGTTTTAGTAGATCGTTTAATGACTCCGATAACGATACCCGATATACTCCGCCACCGCCTCCCTTGCGCATGCATAGTATCGTTATCGGGGCTATAGGAGGAGGTATCGGAACGATCTACTAAAACTCTCTAATGTCTCATGAACTGTTTCCGAAGTGCTCGCTATTCTAGCGGACGGATATGTTGCTGCGGTGGGCATTCATCCGAAGTTGGCAGGTTCCGGAGCAGACGACACTTGGCTAACAGACGACAGCTGGTTCCTCAGGGCCTCGCGCCTCGCATGGTGACACAAATGGTCCCGTGACGTCGGGTCACGCGCCTTGCTCCGACGCTCTTATTGGGTCGTGGGGCCCTATAGCCTCCACAATTCGCCAAGTTATCGTGAAACGGAGTATAGTTGCGATAGCATGGGACAGGACAAGGAACGGATTCGGGTTCGAAAATTCTCTAGACATTCTACAGGACCTAGTGTACGTAGGGCAGACATGATGATTTGATTAATATGTGTGTCAAAATGAAGAGAACAATCAAACATCACACACAGACCTCTAACCTCACTGACGCGACATAGAACCTCTCAGTTAATACTGTAGGGAAAACTACGCTGTGTTTTTTTTTTTCGCGTGTAGGGCGTTACTTTTGTGTTCGCCTTGTTTAAGATAAGACTACCAGACGAACACCAGTCACTGAACGCGCGCATATCTGGCTGAAGCATCTCACAATCACAAGCACTGAAAATTTCACGAAATATTTTTATATCATCTGCCTGCTGTAAGTTAAAATGACCTTAGACGCGTCATTGACAAAAATAGAAAAAAAGTGAAGGCCTCACACCAACCCCTGACAAACAAGGCACTGTCTTTCTGACAAATAGTTTTGCAGTCAGTGAAGCAGTGTCCCGCAAACGCCATAATGAGATAGTTTTGACAAAAGATTGCCGTGGTTCACAACGTTGAACGTCTTGCTGAGGTCAAAATAAACGGCATCCGTCTGCGCTCTAGTGCACACGGACTTCGAAACAGCAGGCGTAAAAGCAGCCAAATTTGTTGCTGCTGACCGTCCCGGCAGAAATTCGTGTTGGCCAGAGGAAAATTATAAAAGTTTTATGTACTACCATTTTAAAGAGCTTTGAAAAGGTGCAGAGTAACGAAACTGGTCGGTACTTACAGATATCCACCCTGCTACACTCCAAGAAAAAATGTTGGTCTCAAGTGACTAACGGCAGCATTTGATCCTCTGCACTCCCAGTTGCTCCCCGAAAGGACCATCTGGTTCAATCTAGGTACCATGCGCAAAAGCTGTGGACTAACTGCGCTCGACTGGGACTAACCGATAGGCGTGCTCGAGCAAAAGCAGCCATTAGTCCCCCTCAGACAGGGTGCATCTGTAGGATTTAGTCCCCGAAGGCAAACGGAACGTTCGCCAGGAGGACGGATGATATTTCGCTTGTCTTGGGGATCGGCGAGACTCAGCCCAGGACGGCTGAAAGTGTTGACAAAGTTCGGACGAAACCAGCGAGGTTGTTTAATGTGCCACGAACGTTCAGACCTTATGTGGTAAAGCTTCACGCGTTGTGCGAAAGCGAGTTAAAAAAAAAAACGATCTGTTAACATTTTACAAGTCCCATTCACGTAATTCGCCTTCGCGCAAAAAAATAGCATTTATCCAAACGCAACACCTCCAAATACTGACACTTTTTTTCTCTTAAATGAAACTTATAAGTTTGTAGAACCGGAGTCTCGCAGTCAGAATAAATGGTCACTTCAATCGCTAAAACTGAGTTACTGAGAGCAAGTCGAGCCTCGTCTCTGCGTCTCCCCGTAACCAACCTTTCTGGGTAGTCCAATGTCGAACTTAAAATCCCCAACGACACACTTGATGCACGACACGTTCCACTTAAACAGCAGATTCAGGGGTAACTAAATGTTACCCCTGAATGTAACTAAATGACAGATTGCGCGAGCACAACCAAAAAGTGAGCGGACAGCGTGACGGTCATTTGTCGATGCACTGACATGACTGTGGGTGAAAACCTCAATTTAATTTGTGCACTATTATTAGAAAACATAGAGATAAGACGGTAAGTGAAAGTATAGAGGCAGACCTGATAAAAAAAAACTTCGGGGATCGATGTGTCAGCGTGGCGTCGATCGATTTGGGCGACAGAGACACAGTTCTTGCGATCAGTGGCGTGGCTTGGGATTGGTTGAATGGCGCGATGATGCAGAGTATTTATACCCTTGATTTTCTGACGATTAAACCAGTTGAAGTTAGCGCATTGTGTTGTCTCGTTCCTACTCTTCGTCCCTGTCGTGAAGCGCTATTATGTTCTCGAAGTTAGAGCTTTCGCCGCTGAGAGAGGAAGTCCTGCGCATGTGTAAAACTTTTCTTGAAAAATGTCCACTGGTAAAGTAAAGGCAAAACGTGACGAATTTCGTCAATGGTGGGACACCGAACGAACGAATATATTACGGTGTTCAAAATTTCCGTTCAAAGGCGAAAAGAACAATATTTTGCGGATAGATGGCACTAGCTACCGGAAAACTCTACGCCTTCAGACATATATTTATTTGTCTACTTATCAATTTTCACTTTCACCGGTCGGTAGCTCCATGGCTGTCAGGTAGTGTTGTTGTCACCACGTTGTCACATTTGTCACATGTGTTATCCGCGCGTATGTTTACGATTCGCATATCCCACTCTCCGGCGTCTCCATCATTGTTTGTCGCTTGGTAGAGAAACCTGTTATTTCTCTTTCTACTACTACCCAAGAGTCCCGTTTGGGCTCTGCATCTTGCAGCACTGTGAAATGGCGGCGGGACCGACTTTGACTGAGAAGTTCCAAGGCTGCTTGGTGGGCGGGCTGCTCGGGGACTGCCTCGGCGCACCGTTTGAGGCCCATATTAAGAACACCGTCATCCCGGACCAACGGACCTTTTTTCAGAATTTGCTGAAAGGCGAGATTGCGTTCGGGCCCCTTGCCGGGCGGAACTTCCGTCCTTCTGAAGGTAGATAGCTCTTTCGCATCCCCGAGCTTTAGTTTTTTTTATTAACCGCAAAATGAAATGATGCATCGCCGCAAACGCTCATTCTCCGCCCAATTGTAGCGCTAGAGGTCCGAACCAGATTAGTGATTTCCTGAACTTTTCAATGGGAAGATGGGACCCATTTTGGACCGTGATAGAGGAGGCGTTGGTTCTCGTTAACTGGCGCCATAGAGCTTCATGCATTCGAAAGCTCTGTCGGCCGCCAATTCCCCATTGAAAATTTCAGAAAACTACTTATAACTAACTACATTTGGGCGGAAAATAAGCGTTCTGTGATGCGTAGTTTATTTTTGCGGTAAAAAATACCCTGTAATATTTATTTTTTAAAAAAGACACCCTGCATTTTTGTTTTTAAATATATTATAAGGGGGAGGCTTTGGCAGCTTTTGAAGCTGGTACTGTTTCTGCTGATTCTTGCCATTCTTGCTGCCTTGTATTGTGGTCTGCTTGCTGTAGACAACTTCGCGCTGTCTAAATATCACACCCGAACTTTTCTAAATCTGATTTCGTGGAAACCAGTGAGGCGTGAAAACATTATTTGAGACTGAAACTGTGGAGGAACATGAAAACCGGACTTCGAACTTTGCAAACCTTGACTTGTGTTTTCAAGGGACACCTTGAAAACACATTTTTAAAAGTTTACATTATGGGTGAATCCTCTTTGCACTCAAAAATGCGGTAGTTTCTTGTCTTCCGGTTGGCAGACCCCCAAAACGACGTCACTCTGATTGGGCGCGACATAGCCTCTGGGCGAAAGCAAAAAAATGTGGCAGTGGAATACGGCATTGCAGCTGCAATGCTTTCGGGACACAAGTTTTTTTGTTTTTTTTTAATACAGAGTGTACTATGTTTCTGTATATTGTGTCTAATGTCCATTTTAGACAGTTGGCTCTGCCTTGTAGTACATTGAAATGTGATGATTTGGCTTTACAAGAGTTCAAGACTACCTGCGGTTTGAAGTACTTCAGCTAAACTACTTTGGAGTAATTATGTGAACGATATATATAGTGGACGTGTTGTGTCCGCACTCCTTTAATCCTACTGCGGCGCTTCGAGCGTAGCAACTACATAAAGCATTCAGGCAGTAGGGCATAACATCGAAACTGTAGACAAATCACTGACCCACTTCCTGCCGCAAAGCTATTTTACGAACACAAAACGTTGTGGATATGGGTGGCAGAAGCAAAGATGATTCTGGAGATACATAAATTACGACATCCCATATCTGTACAAAAGAGCAGAGTGTGAAGTGAAACGGTCATTGACGCTATGAAGTGTGTTTGAATCCTTTAATACCTCTGAAAGAAGACTCTCTTCAAGTACATAGACAAAAAGTCGCTGTGACCAATGTATAGAAAGTTGCAATCCATTAACAATCGATTTATTGCTCATGCATTCTGCCCAGTTTTAAAAGAAGGTCAACATTCTTGGACTCTTGTCAACTTAGGAAACTGCCAAATTTCTCGGAGATGTTCCATGGTTCCGTTTTGCAGCGCGAGGGAGAGACTCATTGATGTGCCATCGGCACATTGCCGTTCAATAGAAAGCCTGCTAATTCGTCTTCAGGCGAGATGCATGTAGAAATTTGACCTTTTCCGGAACTCTGAGATTTTAGGTCAGATCGTCTTTACCCTCTGGGCTGAGCATTCTTCAACTATAAAATGGCTGTGGCCCGATTTCTGTCTTATCTCGACAACTTGTGCAGCCGTCTTGTTTGGGGATGTGACGTCACGGAGCGCGAAGGAGTCTCGCATTTCGAGAGAAACTCTGTGCACGAAGAGCTCGCTCTGGTGTCAAGGCTGGTTCACACACTTTCGACTGCTTACCACTGGAGAGGCTTTAGTCCGGTTTTTAAGCCTTGCCGGTTTTTAAGCCTTGCCGGTCACAAGCGTATGAACCAGCTTTTAGTTTCTGGTGGCATTCCTCTCCGTTTAGTGAACGGAGCTCCAAACTTTTGCACTCCAAAGCATCTTTGCGTCGCAATTTCAGAAAAGTGTCGGCTCATTTGAAAGAAACCCTCTACTTATATTACGTCCTTCCAATCCTGGACTATGCTTGTATTCTTTGGGACCCACACACGTAAGCATGTATAAATCGAATCGAAAGAATTCAGAATCAGGCCACAAGATATGTGCTAAATAACTATAATTTTCATGATAGTGTCTCTTAATTAAAGCTCCAACTCGGATGGAAACCTTCACAACTAAGACGAAAGTGCCTCCGTCTTCAAGCTGAGGTATAATCTTTATCACGGTAGCATCGGTATAGATAAGTCGAGATACCTATTGGAACCTCATTACGTTTTTCTTAGAACTAGTAATCACAAAAAGATCCGAGAATTTCGCACACGGACCAACGTTCTAAAATATTTTTTTTTTTCGCGGACAGTTAATGGCTGGAATGTGCTGCCCGACTCACTGGTAGAGCTTCCTAGTGCACAATCATTTTTTGATGGAATTATGTTATTGTAGTCGGTTCTATGATTTTTAGTGTTGCTTGCTGTTAATCATTTTCTCATATTATTGCAGTATATATTGGCATGTTTCTCCTGTTTGACTTGGTTATTTTGCTGTTATTCATTTTCTCATATTACAGTGTATATTGGCATGTTTTTCCTGCTTGCCTTGTTATTGTTGTTGTTCTGCTGTATGTTTGCTTTTGTAAATTTCTTTCGTCCTCCCCTTACTGTAATGCCCACCGGGCAATGTAGGTACCAAATAAATAAAATAAACAGACTTAACCCCTTAACTGGGAACTTTTTTTTACCAAAAATTTCTGTAAAATAGGGATTTTTTTTAAGAAGTGTTTCTAGCTCTCGAAGGTATAACAATAATCTCAGAACTTGTCACAAATTTATTTATATCAAGTTGGATGTGCACCCCGGCGCTTCCTACAATCCGAAATAGTTTTCACTGTGCTGGCGTCTTACCAGGTTGCAGCAGACCCTGAAGTTGATGGTGTTTCCATAAACAATTGTTTCGCTGTGTCATCTTCAATTTTCATGTTGGATCCCGGGGAACATTCCATCGAACTCGAGAAATCAACATCGCAGTCGCTGTGCTTGCGAGTATATAGCAGCTCAGCGATTTCTTGGTCGGTCAAGGGACGCGCTGGCGTTTGCTGGACGCCATTTTCCAAACAAACAGTCGAAGGTGCCATACAGGAGTCTTCAACCTTTTTTTGTGCTGCCATGTATGCATCGTTTTTAAAACTAAAAATGTTTCCGATACATGAGGATAGATGGCGCATCCTACCCACACGCTTTATAGAGCAAGTGTTTAAAAACGCGCTTCCCAACACCAAAGAAAGTGCAGCGTGTCTATAGACACACCCCCATATCTGCGGTCAAACTTGATGCGCGTCTAAAGACTCGTTCCCCAGTTAAGGGGTTAAAGGGCAACTCCGGTCAATATTTTTTAATTTGAGATTGCGACTGTTTTCAGTTAAGGCAGTGTCCCTGAATTACAAGGTGCCATTTTTTTTCGACATTGCGTGTTAGTTTTATAAATATCACGGTTCAAAGTTTGGTTTCGGGTGTCTACGGCAAAGCCAACACTATCTGCTAGAGGGATGGCAACACAGATCATCAGCCGTACGGCCGTGACATGGCGTCACTGTGGCGCTCGCGGTACAACTGATCAGCCACAGCTCCACCACGATATGACGTCACGGTGGAGCTGTGCCAGTGTTCCCTGACCAAAAGCTAACCCGCTTGCCTCCCGCTAGAGAGCAGCTGGTCGCATCATTAAAATCGGTTTTAGTGGAGTATGTCTCTTCACTTTGACGTAATATTGCGGCTGTGATCATATTTCGTGCCACTAAAGCGATACCAGTCATTCATTTTGGTTTCGTTTTCAACCGGAGTTGCCCTTTTACACACCCAGTATTTGCTTTAAAGTAGTTTGTTCAAAATCTAGGTTTTTGGGCGAATACAGTGAAATGTCACTAGAACAAACTTCAAAGAACATTCAGAAACAAGTTGCCATAAGTGAATGTTCACTGGACTGAATACATTAGACACAATAGGGTTTACTGGGGAATTCTACAAAAGTTTGTTAATCTGAATAGTTTGTTCAAGTGGTATTTCACTAAAGTTAGAACTAGTGTAGTCCAGCTTCTTCCAAAGTTGTTTGTTCCCCTCTCTGGAAGGTACCTTTTATAAAGAGTAATTTCTTCCAATACCTATGATAACAATTTTCTGCTTTTTTTTTGTGCTCACAGTTGATCAAGAGCATGGCGAGTACCATTACACGGACGACAGTGCCATGACATTTTGCCTTGCGAGATCCTTGCTTGCTAAGGGGGGATTTGACCCCCTGGATGTGGCCAAACGGTAGGACCGCTTTTGGTCCCATTATTATTTCATCTCCATTTCCGATATTCGTGCATATTTGCACATATCTGATAACCAAGCTATTATTATAGACAAGAGAAGATTTTGGAGTCACTGAAAGTTGAACAAGACAGTGTAGAGCCAACTTTTGTGCAGACTTTTCCATTGGTTGGAGCTACCAGATGGTATTTACTGCTGTTCTGGTACTGATCATTGTGTTTTGTTTTATGATGAACCGCAGCAAACGCTACAAGTCATCCCAGCCCATTCAAACGCATCTCTGCACCCCTCCTGAAGGTCACATGACACTCACTTGGCTGTGGATCAGCTTCGATGGCATGTAGCATCCTGTGTGGTGCATCATAAGGGGAACAGAGTATTGGCCCCGAAAAGTTTGCGTTGCGCCCCCTTGCGGTGAACTGGGGTGACATCACGGCGAGAACAGAATTTTTCCCTGACTCGTCCCGCTCGCCCTGTGGAGGCTATGACGACGTTTGCTGTCGGCGCGCTCGTTTCTATTTAATATTTTTGTGTGCGTTTTTCGTAAGAAGTGTAAATCTTCATCTGTGGCTTTATTTGGGTATGGCCTGTAGCTGCAGGCGAAACTTCAACCTACATTTTAGGCATGGTTGACAGGGCAGGCAACGCATGACTCAGCTGGTATATGAAAATGAAGAGATGTGGCTGCAATTGCAGGATCATCACTATAGATTTACATCTCACACAATCAATGCCACTGATGGTTTTAACGAATTGGTAAATTATGTGTTCTATTTTTTTTTATCTCTGTGTTTAATCTCTGTGTTTAAACTAGAATGCCGAAGCAGAAAAGCTGCATGCTGCTCGAGCAACATGTTAAATATGGTCTGGGCCATGGAGAGAGAATCACAAGTGAGACAGCCCAAGTACAGGGGCAAAGTAAAGACGGAAGGAACATTTATTTATATACATTGCTCGCATTTGACCTTTGCTGGAGTCGGATAGTATTTCAATAAACTCCACTGGTGGTATTTGTGGACGTTTTTATATCGTCCCTCAAGTAATGTACAACGAACGTAAGCGAAGGTGTCTAGCCCGTTATTGGTCCCTTGGGCTCTAAAATTCAGATTTTAGCTACATCAAATTGTCCTGAAGCTAAAATATCAGAGGATTTTCTCACTCAAACTGTCATGGTTCGCCAACTCGCCCAAGCATCCATCCTATCAAGTTACAAACTGTCACCCTTCACTGTTCCACATTTTCTGCTACTAGTGCAGCATCTACCTCCGAACAGCCGTTCGAATGCTTGCTCTTCCTCCTGTTTTCCTCTGTTGTCAGAGAGTTCAGCTCTAGGGAGTTGTGAAGCTGAGGAAGCTTTTGGGATCCCCAGCAGTGTCTCTTTTAATTGGAAATGGCAATTCAAACTAAACGGTGTATATTCGAAATACCCAAGGCTGGAATAAAGTAAGAATGTCGGGAAGAAGTATAAACACTCCAAATTACAGTACTATTGCTGCACATATTTCGGGCAGTTCAGTACATCTCATACAACCAACTGGGGGCAATTCGGTCGTTTTTCCTGCTACTATACAAACTAATTTCCAGTAGTTGTGCATTGTCTAAAAAGTAAAACATGCCTGCGAACGTGTATGAACTATATCATTAATTCACAAAGAAGCTACATTTACGTAAAACAACCCTGATCCACAAGCACTTCAAAGGCCTTTAGACCGCCCAAAGGCCTTTGATATAAATGTCATTTAAATGCCTGTAAAGCGGGATGTAATATTTTCCTAAATTATGAACATGCAAGGAACAAATTTGCAGCGTCTGAAACACTTACGCTGCCGCTTCACTGACCCCTCGCACGATTGCCTTGTGCCATGTGGACCGACAAGGAGGTTCATCGGCGGAATTGCCTCCGCCGATAGCTTTTGAGATTTGCAACCCAATTATAAAGGTAAAAGTGACGAGCACGCTTATAAAAGGTATGGAAGCACGTCAATATCGGCTTAACCCAGCGTCTTGTACACCTGGTAAACGAGGTCCCGCTCCTCAAAGTGCTTGCGGCACACAAAGGCCCAACTAGAAAATGGGCAGGGAAGGGAGCTGGATGTGAGATCGGGAAGCGGAGTCCTTCCCCTGACGTCACGGTGCACCTCACCCAATCAGGGCGCCGCGACCGCAGTGACGCTTGTGTTTGCTCTTGGGGCCAATAGTGCCATCTCTCGGGAAGCACACTCTACACCGACTGTATCAAATTTCTGGTGACACTCTATAGCGGTCTTATGAAACGCCGTCACACTTTGAACAAGCTTTCTGCAACCATGCTGGTGAACCTTTTCCACCATTTTCCTTATTAGCAGGGGTGGAATAACTGCACCGATTGTGCCATTTTGATGCATTCCCATTTTTCTGTACCTAGCAGCTCCAAAAGTGTCAAATCGACCGAAATTACGCCACACTGCGTCAAAGTTCGTGGTGATGCTAGATTTAGTGGAAAGTGAAAGCTCGGTTGACAACCATTGCCAGGTGGTGCAAGCCGCTACCCAATTCCTTGGTTCAGTCATATCTGTCCATTCGTCCATACATCCATTCATCCTAACCATCGTACCGTCGCATCATGCATCATATATGCTATGATGTATGATGCAACGTGGCATGTAGCATTAATGTTCTCAAGTCATGTCTCTTCTTTTTATTCGAAATTTGTTCCTAAAATGAAATATCTTTTTGTGAGCAATTTCAGATATTTTACATTAAAGTTCTTTTCAATCCTTTCCAACACTTGTAGTTAGTGTTGTATGAATATTCAACATTTTGAATAGTAGAATAGTAGTTTAGAATAATGCACTATTCATTATTCCCTTTGAAGCAGGGTCGTAGCCGTGAATAATTTTTGGGAGTGGCTGAGGTGCCTGAGATGCCCTAGACTTAGGGTGTGGGGTTCAAAATCCATCTGGATATGATAGGGTCAGCTCGATTTAGGGGGCTGGGGGCTGAAGAGCCCCCTCCTGACTATGCCACCGCTTCGAGATGAACTGAGATATTCAAATATTTTAAAATGTTGATCATGAGGGCTTCCCCATTGAGTGTGTTTCTTACCGAGCACCAGTGCACTGCGGAGAAGCAACACCCGCCGAAGCGAGCTCCGTGGGTGTTGCTTTTCTGCCGTGCACCTGTGCTCGTTAAGAAGCCCACTCAACGGGGTAACCCGCTGCGATCAACACTTGCAAAAGTGTGACTATTGCAATTGCGTGCTTGGGAAAAAACACACTTTCAAAGTGTATGGTGCATGCGCTAGCCTGGTGCATTCAATTGGAAACAGAACCTTTGTCAATGTTGATATCCACATTGCAGTAAAATGTTCAAAATTGAACTGTGGCTGTTATGCTTGAGTATATGTTAGGCAGAGATGCCCTGACAACCTGCATTCATCATTTGGGATTTTTAAAATTTTTTTTTAAATTTGAGATTCTAGAAAGAATATTCACATATAGCAAGGTTTCTAAATCCACTCAATTAGGTATAGCTGGACATCTCTATAGGTTTAATTTTATGTTCCAACATTAGACTTTCTGGTATCACAGATCATAAATATAGTTAGATTAAAATTGGCTTATAAATGAACAAGTGGAAGCTTAGAAACTACCTTCACGAGTTGAGCTGTGGGTTTTCGTTTAGGCATGTGCAACAGTAACGAAAAGTTTAGGGTTGCTATTCTATATTCTATTAAAAAAATATTAGGCCAAAACCACTATTTGCTTTGAAATCAGGTCAAACTCAAAATCCACTATTCGCACATGACTATGTACTTGTCGGACAAACCCAGTTTGCTTGAATTGTAACTCATGGTACAATTGGCTAAGATGCTTCCTTAAAGTGATGTCATAGTTACTCGTAAGGTACTCCAAAATAGTGACTTTTTCTGCTTAGTGCTCCAAAGTGCAGATTTTCCTGCTCCTAAAGTGCTTTAGAAGGCTGGGTTTTCTGCTTTTATGCTGCTCCAGAGTGTGGATTTTTCTGCTCCAAAAATTGCTCCAAAACCAGTATGGTTTGTCCCACCCCTGTTTTAGTTTTCAGGGATAAAATTTTTCAGTGGCATTGATTTTCATATTGCAAAATCGGAGAAACGTGGCGAGTGGCTGTGCCGATGACAGAACTCATGCAGCACGATCGGGGACATAATGGGGTCTCATAAATGCTTGCTCACTCCACTTTGTTTCTTCTTGGAAGTCATTTTGGAGCATATGCGGAGGCCATTGTGGCCACCACCGGGCTGACTGCTCAAGTGCCGGCTCATCTGAGCTCCAGATAACTGTCGGGATGTATGAAAGGGGAGCATCAGCCGAAGCTTCTTTAGTTACGTGGGTCTCCTGCAGGTACATTCAATCACAACACAGAAGAACTCAAGTAAGCTGGAAAGCACTGCCTCCACGCATAGAAAAACTGGGCAAAGATTTACCAGCATAGATTCTCGCAAAGGTTCATGCCGGATGTCTTTCACATGAAACTGCACTATGTGAGGTCCTTTTGAGGTGGTCTGAATGAGATTGGTGTTGCTCAAACTTGCCTGTGTGACTGGGATGAATTCCAACTTCTTTGAAAATTGAAGTTTTGAAAATTTACATGCAAAACTAGCAAATGGCATCCGGTACGGCGCTGCAAAGGAGCAGTAAATAATTTTGACTGCCGGGGAGCCTCCAGAAGCTCGGTTAGACGGTTGCTACACTATAGTAGGACTTTGTCTAATTGCAGGCACCTCAGGCACAATTCCAACCTGTTAACTGGGGATCCGTAGGCGGACAGAATACCTCGAAACCATCGATTGGCTTGTTTCAGACACTCTGAATCATGCAGAACGTAAATTAAAATTGAGCTAACATCTCTCCAATGATGAAAATAATCCCTGGAGAGGGGGAACAAGAGGGACAAAGGACAAACACAAATCTCCAAACACAGCTAGGTGACTGGTGTGCGACCGAAAAAAACCGCCTGGTCTGGGTATCGAACCCGGGACCTCTCCATTACAGGTGGAGCGCCCCACCAACTGAGCTAACCAGCAGTTAGACATCAGTAGAGCAAACGGGTTTTATCAGCTGCCACTGTTTGCTCTACCGACGTCTAACCGTTTGCTCTACTGACGTCTAACCCCTGTTTAGCTCAGTTGGTAGAGCGCTCCATCTGTAATGGAGAGGTCCCGGGTTCGATACCCGAACCAGGCAGATTTCCAAACACCAAGCTGCGTTTGGAGATTTGTGTTTGTCCTTTGTCCCTCTTGATCCCCTTCTCCAGGGATTATTTTCATCATTCTTGTCCAGCTCGCTTGCACCTTTGCATTTAATTGCATTATCATCTCTCCAATTCATTCTTCTCTCAGCTACAGTGAAAGCTATGAATACAGGCGTATAGTTTTGGAACGTGATCCCAGTGTGAGTCTGCTCGTGGGATGGTAACTTGTTGGAAGGGTTCAGGCCACTCATACAGCTTTCATAGTGTGGATCGGGGTGAAATAGGCATAGGTGTCTAATTCTCGGAACTATAAAAATTGTAGACTAACTAAAAAGCCAGCCCATTTCTCTCTTCACTTTGCAGGTTCACAGAGGAGTATTTCGAGAATCGACAGCTCATGCAAGAGTATGGGAATGCTGTGAAGAATGTGTTTCAGAAGTGGAAGGACAGCAGCTATGCAGACCCATACAAACCAGCGATGGAGCAGTTTGAAGGCCGTGGCTCGTACGGCAATGGTGCGTCCATGCGCGTGGCTCCCGTTGCCCTCTTCTACACAAAAGACCACGAGAAAATGATTGAGGTGGGCATTAGTTTCCCCTTGAAGGCCAACCTACAGAATCGTCTTCTGCCGGGAAGAAAACCGGTTCCTAGCTTCTCTCCATTCCCTCTCGCACTCTTCTCTCCTCCTCTCCCCACTAGAGCAGGTCTCTGAGCTACTCTCTGCAGAAAGGAGGAGAGTCTATATTTCCCAGATGGAAGGGAGGAACTGAGGGAGAGCATCCTCCTTTCTGGCTGCTTGTCGACCTTTAAGTTCAGCATACTAACGTTAATGTGAATGTCAGGCATTCAAAATAAAGCCCGGGTGCCGGCAGTCATTCAAAGCTTGTGTTGTTGAGGTTAGAATGTTCATCAACAAAGCCTAGGACTACTTCCTTCATTGAGCACTCAACTTTGCCTGACTTTTAGTTTGTATGAATGGGTATTAGTTTTCAGTGATGATGATCCAGATTGTGATCAACTGGTGGACTAGTTCGTTACACAACGGAAAAAACACAGTGCAAATGACTAGGATTAGTAGGAGGAGAAGACGAGAAAGCACTTGTCCTGTCTTCTCCTTCTACTACTCCTTGTCTTTTGCACTGTGTTTGTTTTGTTTCAAGGTACTACTGTGGGGTACCGTAGGCTGGTCAAGCTGCATAGTCCGTTTTCTCGATGGTTGCCAGTTTTAATTCTGACACGGCAACCATCAAGAGAAAGCTTGATGGTTGCCGTGTTTATTTCTGACATAGCCAGGTAGGGGGAAAATACCAATGCGCTTTACTACCTTTCTGGAGATGATAGAATTATTATTTTTTTTTATTGTAGTTGTGGAAACTTTTACATTGCAACCATAAAACTTGATGGTTGCCATGTTTAATTCTGACATAGCCGGGTTGGGGGAAAATGCTAATTTGCTTTGCTACCTATTCGGAGGTGCTAGAATTAAAAAGACTCCTATCATTAGTTATATTTCGTTCCACACCTGTAGTTTTTTATTGTAGTTTTGTGAAAACTCTTTACTTCATGTTTTGTCATCAAACCAAACTTCATCAAAATTCAACATGGCAACTATCAAAGGAAAACAATCTAGTAAAACAGCTTTTCTTATTGGCCTATCTACATTAGAAAATAAACAATGCTCATGTTCATGCTTAAAAACAAAATTTGGTAAAATCATGGCGATGATGTTTGTAAAAGAGTCTACTAGTGCTGCTCCTAGTACATTGTAGAAAAGCATGCATACAGTACTTTTTAAGTTGGGACTCTAGTACATAGTGCAACCTGCTTGCTTTTTGGTGAAATTAGCAGTCTTCTATGGATATGCTTCCACCTATTGCAGGTAAGTCCCCTATGGCAGTTGGTAAGATGGTGAGACTTATGTTACATCTATTTGTAAGACTGAGCAATATATGGACGTGACCGATCCGTGCAGCAGGTTCCTCCAACTTTGTCCAAAGAGTTTTCTTATCCTCTGCTTCCCTCTCTGGGGTGCCCTTGTGGCCACTGGTGCTTGCCCTTAAACTCATTGGCTGCCCTTTCTGTGCACAGGGTTTTTAATAAACTCCAGAGGGAATGTAAAAATAAACATCCCAACAGAGGGCAGCTCTTCTCCTTACAACACATTTGTGCATTGCCTTCCATCGTCATACATGGCTATACAGGTAGCAACTGAGGTAGAGATGGAGTGCACTGGGAAGCCAGAGCTGTGGAATGATTAGTGGGCAGACGCAAATTTAGCTGCCTTAGTCTCTACTCGCTGTTTGAATTGGTTTGAACGCCCAACGCCGGCGTTGGGCGTTCAAACGCGTTCAAAGAGTGAGTGGAGACTAAGGCAGCCAGTTTTGTGTCTACCCATTCCAGTTGGAATTTAATGTTCAGGCGTCCCCGCGCCATCTCGTCTCCCTCAGTTTATACCTCTATAGTACTCACAATTGTTAAAACATGAGCCATCTTTTTACAGTTTGTGAAAAAATCCACTAAGATGGTTGAGTCAGTCACTAATTTTGTTTGCCATAATGCCAATGATAGTAAGACCCATGAATGACTAGACTCCCCTCAGCGTCACTTGGCAAAAGGTATGGCCCCAGCAAGCCAATGAGAGTGTCAGAGTGGCGCTTTTGACAATGAACCCTCGCCCATGACATGATTGGGAACACATGTGCCACCTTCAATACGGTCCCAGCATCGTCTCAGTGGCACCACAAGTGATGGCACTTTCATATGCTCTGTTCAGCACTCTTTGCTTATGTGCTGTGTTTTCAGTGGAGGTTATGTAGTATAATGTGACAAGTATAAATCCTAACTCTGTTCTGCAATCTTTGCAAATGCACTATGTTTTCAGTGGAGGTTATATAGCCTAAATCCTAATAAAATTTTTTTTTTTTTCTCTCGATTCCACTCATTTATGGCTTTGGTACCGTTCATGTGCACTCCTCCTGTGGGGAGCTGCCACATGCTTCACTTCACTTTCTCCCCTTTACCAAATTATTCTGCCAAATGTGTAAGCATTTTTGTCTTGTTATAGGGAGTATAATTTTACATGCCTTGGGAACTTTCTAAAGCCAACCTTTTTGCTGCTGAATGTTTGCACATATTGATATGACTCATAGTACTGTCATAACAGCGGCTTGCAAGTGTTCAGCTTGGAAGTCTTTCTTTAAGTAAACAACAGTGAAAACTTGCTCAATGATATGAACTGAAATAAATATATTACTGAGTTTCAAGAATTTGTTCTGGAGGGCATTTTTCCTTTCCCATTTAGGTTGCAAGAAACCAGGCAAAGCTCACTCACAGCAATGAATCCGCCTACAATGCAGCCATTCTGCAATGCATGGCTATCGCAACTGCGCTGAGAAGTGATCCTGGGACTCCATTTGATTCAGGCCATTTTATGAGCCAGCTCGTAGCCTTAATGTTGCAGCAAGAGAAATCCCATAATGGCCAAGGGTAAGGAAGTCTTGTTTTGGGCTACATTAAAGGGATGCTGCACCTGAATTTATATTTTGCAAAATAAGGCCACAGAAGCGTTGAATTGGATGCTACAAACTTCAAAACATCACTCGTAGATCAATATCTTGAACGGATGGCCGTATCTTTTTGGAAAAGAAGGGCTTCTGGAAAAAAAGGGCGCGATCAAGCGAGTACTGTGACGTCACAATCCTCCTGAAACAGTTGAGAATGAGGGGAAGCGGCCTCGCTTCTCCACTCCTCACTTTGGTTCACCTGCTTGAGGGTCAAAGCGAGGAGGAAAGGCAGTGGAATCGTAGCGTGACATGTCTCGTCGGCTGCTTTCAGTCGCACACTTCCTTTCCAAAAAAATACGGCCAACCATTAAAGATATCGCTGCATAAGATGTTTTGGGGGTTTGCAGCATCCAGCCAATTTTCGGTTCAGCATACCTTTAATGTTTTACCGTTGTATCTACAGGATTTCTGGACTAACTCTGGTTTTTGGTCCAAGTTGTCTCATTGCATAATCATCTTAACTTTTTATATTATTTATCTGTATCTCAAAGGCATTGTTTCTAAGTGACTTTCTTTAATGGCAGTGGTTTATTCTTGCAGAAGTTTTTAAAGCAAATATATAATATTCGCTTTTACTTCCGAAAATACTGCGGCTAGTATGTAGCCCTCAGTAGTTGACAGGTCCATTTACATGACAGGAAAGCTATTTTACAGGAACATATTAAAAGGAGAAGGAAGTATTACAACTAAGGCTGGGCATTGATTAAAAGTTTTATCCCAATTAATTGCCATCTTTTAATCAATTAATTGGTTTCATTAATTTCCATGCATAATATTTTTTTTTTTTTAAAGGTCAAAATTACACTTTTTACCTTTGCTGAATAGGCAATAAACGGCGCAGTGTACAGTTTCGATTATGAATCAACCTCGATGTGTAGTTGTGAACAGTTCAAAGACACTCACACTCACAGATTACTACTTCAGCTGCATGAGGCAAAGAGGTTTGTTGATAGTCGCCGGCAAGAGCGACCTACATTTATTGTTCATAATAGTCTCTGCTGCACTAAATGGACTCTCGCACGGCATTGAAGAGGCTGGGACACGTGTAACCTGCATTTGTCTGGAGTTGGAATCTCGCCCCTACAGTTTACTTTCAATTAAATTTTTACCTGAAGGTTGCCCCCGATACAGGTGTATTCGTCCACGTCATCGTGGTGAAAGCGTTTGATTTTTACTTTTGGTTTATCAATATTTTACCGATTAACCGGCTAAAAAGTTAATTGCAATTAAGCATTAATTGATTAATTGGTAGGTTAATCGATCAATTGCCCACCCTAATTACAACCACTGAAAGAGAACTACAGTCTGCAATCGTATGGGGAAAATAAGAAGACATAAATCAGTGATATGATTGCTGCACCATTTGTGCCAAACTACCAAACATAACTTACCTTGCTACATCCTGCTATATTCCACCGAAATGTGAGGAATTTCTGTCTACATTGGGCCAAAAGTTAACTTTGCTTTCATACTTCTGAAACCAATGGGTCAAGCCCTGCCACACTGCTGGATTATTATCATAGGCTGGTGCAGATTTTCAGAACTTTGATTATAGCTTAGAATAACGCAATATTTTATTTGATTTTCTTAACAAATACAGGTAGTATTCGGGAGTTCCGTCATACTTCTCATTGTGATTTGTTTGGGCATGTCAATAAATCCTTTTAGAAATGTTGCGCCACATGTGGCACATAAACTATGCACCATATAATGGCGGTCGCAGCCCTGCTCCAGCGGGGCTGCGGCCGCCATTATGTGGTATACGGTTGCAGAGGCCAGTACTTTGTAGCGCCTGCATAGTGCCTTTCCAGATGCGTTTTTATTGTTGTGCAACACTGTGCAAGCAGAGTGGCTTGAAGGATAACCTCCCAAACAGGACGACATTTACTGTTTTGCTGGAAAAATACAGCTGTCCACAAAAAATGTGTCAATATAAACCACAATCTGTTAAGCACTCATTAAGTCAGGATATATGTGCATGCACGAGGATTCATTGTGGCAGCTCGCGCAGTAAAAAGGACTATCATAGCCACGAGCACACGCACATAGCTCTCGGTGGCTCCGAGGCGAGAGCGCCGGCCTACGGATCCCCAGGTGGCGGGTTCGAATCCCGACCGAGGTGCCCGCAATATGACGGAGGCTTATTGTGGAAAAGGCGCCGTGGTAACCGAGCTTTCGGTTGCACGTCAAAAGATCCCCAGGTGGTCGAAATTAATCCTCAGTCCTCCGCTGGGGCGTGCCAGATGCCCGTCGTAGGTTTGGCACGTAAAACCCCTAAATTTGACTTTGACACGCACATAGCTCTCCCCGAGGATACTTTATTCGGGCTTGGCGTATGAGCTATTCTGAAATCTGCCAGGTGTCCCATTGTTTTCCTTCCCAAGTGATCTGTTGCTCGAAGCAACCGAGAAATCGTTATACAACGTCAGGGGGAAAACATAATACCACAGAATATACGATGCCTGACTACCTCTCGAACGTTGCTGGTAGCCGCCGCCGCTTCTTGATACAGCAAGTTGTTCTAGGTACACTGTTAACAGTGTAATTTTCGCGAAGACCTATTTTTTGCAAATTTTGAAACTTGAGAATTATTGCAATACATAGATACGCAAATAAATTACCCTATGGTAAAAAATACTAAGCATACCCTTCCAAATCGCGAAATATTGTGCCCGCCAAATATTCCCGAAACCCACACTTAGTAAAATTTGTGAAATATTGAGGTGGTGAAAATAAAGTTCACAGTATTTGCTTCCAACTTTGCCGAAAGGCCTGAGGGGAGAGAACGTCGTTTCAAAGTCTGCCACTGCCACCAAAGTAAACATTACCTATACTACCGTTGCCAAAAACGCGATAAGGGACGCGATCATGCAAACCTTGGCAGCAATGGCATGGCAAGCAACTCAATCGTAGATGTAACCTGCATTGCCAACGAAGAGGGGAAAGCGACTCCATCGTCGATATGAACAGCGTCGCCAACAAAAATGTGACAACATACTCAATCTCCAATGTAAGAATGAAGCTGCGAAAACAAAGTCGCCGCTTCGTGTGTTGGTGCCTCCAGATAGCTTTAAGTGACAAACGTTCGCACTTTCGAGTGCCGTCAACATAGCTGCTCATTGTTGCCGAGAGCAATTTTGGGAAGGGCCTATTAGCTTCTTTGAGTGTGCTGCTCATTGCACACTGGCGCAGTGCGGAGAAGTGGCAACCAAGAAGTAGACACTGTGAGTTTGCGTATCTCGTTTTACCACAGTGCAGCCCCATGCTAAGGGAAGCACAGTTCTCAAGAGCGCTATGGTGCACACGCACACATTGGGTACTGAAAAAAAAAAAAAAAAAAGTAAATAACCAAGGACGATATTTGCCGAATGCCATGGTGATATCTTTGCGTTGCAGTAGAATTTTCAAACAAACTGGCCATTATACGGGGTGATTCAAAGAGAGGCCAAGCTCTTTAAATTGACCGCAAAATTCGGTTTCTTAACCTATCGCGCTACGACTTTGTGCAGCGTTGCCGACAGATGGTGCATTTTTTTTGTAAAATTTGCAAAGAGCGAACTTACCTGAGGAAAATGTAAAGAAAAAAAAAAGGCTTAGCTCCTATGGAAACGCAGCGACGCCACCGGTCTTCAAACAACACGGCGCCGTTTCGCACGGAAGACGAGATGGCGCAACAAACGCCGCCAACGAATGAGCATACGGTGCTGAGAGCCGGCGTCTTTAGCAGACAATTTTTTCGACTCAAAAGCTGTGCGCGTTCTGCAGGCGGCAACAGTCACAAAAACAAAAACGGGCGCGGTAACAACAAGGAACTGCAGTTCCTTGTCTGTTAAAGGAGCTATGCAACGATTTTAACGTTGAAAGAATTGGCATCTTCTGCTTTTGATATTGTTCACCTTGTCACAAATGACGGAAAGCACACCTCCTTTCATTGAAATGTTGCGATTCCGCCACGTAATAGCGAGGGAAAACTTAGAATATTTCCCGACCTGCAGCCGCGAGCAGCGGCCATGAGAAACACGCGGCGTAATGTCAATGGGGAATCTTGTAGAGATAGCAAGTTGTGCGAATACCTGCTCAATAAAAGGTAACTTTTCTATACATCTTGTTGTTCCAACACATATATAAATGTGTCAAAAACCTGGTATCATCGACAAAACTTTTATTATACGGAGTTTTAGTGGCGTCATCTATCCTAGGTCCACAAAACCGTCGGCTCTCTCTGTACCGCGAACAGAAGCCGGAGGGGGGGGGCAGGGCCGGACGGGTATGGCTGGACCCGGATGAGACTTTCCTCCTTTCACCATATTGTTCGCGCGGCTACCGCCAGCACGTGGTCACGCAGTCGCGAGCGGATGAGTTCTCGCTGCTTACTGATGCTCTAAAGAGAGAACTTTTCCGGAACCCCGCGCCTACCCCCCAACGTCACTGCGCACGTGACCCGGAAGACGATGTACAAGTTGAGAGGCGTCAAAAACCTCCATCTTTTTCATTTTTTAAAATAAAAACTAGGGTATCCAGGCAAAATCTGTTTTCTTTAGTTTACTTCAGAAGTGTCGGGCATCAACTTTCACAATAATTTAAGCCAAGCCCTGAAATTGCTGCACAGCTCCTTTAAAGACGCCGGCTCTCGGCGTCGTATGCTCATTTGTTGGCGGCAGTTGGCGTCGCGACCGCTGGCGCCATCTCTTGTCTCCCGTACGAAAAGGTGCCGTGTTGTCTGAAGACCGGTGGCTTCGCTGAGTTTCCATTGGAGCTAAGCCTTTTTCTTTCTTTACTTTTTCCTCAGGTAAGTCCGCTCTTTGCAAATTTTACAAAAAAATGCACCATTTGTGCACAAAGTCGTAGCGCAATAGGTTAAGAAACCGAATTTTGCGGTCGATTTAAAGAGCCTGGCCTCTCCTTGAATCACCCTGTATCTAGGCTGCTATATCCTGATATGCATCATTCGCCATGACTTTGTTTTTTTTAATTTGAGGCTCAAGGAAGGATAGTTGGGCATATAGCGAGGGGAGTTTTAAATAGCCTTGTTTTTGTATAACTCACTCTCACGATAGGATTAATTTTTTTATTTTTTTGTCAAATTCCTAGTTTAATTATTGCCTCTATATAGGTTTTCAACTGTCTCAGGATGCAGTTAACAAAATTTAAATTAAAACTAAATAAACTTTACCAACGTACAAATGGAAGGTCGTGAGTTCTGCTGGACGTTTTTAAAAAGGCATATTTAGCTCCCACATGCTGTTTTTCCATTATGATATCACAAAACTGCATGGGAAGTGCCATTATCTGTACATTAAATGAAAAGCTTTGTCTTTAAATGAATAAAAGGTTGCAGTTTTATTGCAGCTTACTGAACTTCAACAGAAGGTTAAATCTTGTACTAAAAATTATGTATACAAATCAAATCAAATTTACTTTGACATCTATTTTTACAAAATTTCTTTACCAAATACACTTCTTAAAAAAAAATTTAAAAAAAAAAGCACGGTGCAATGTGATTTTTACAGGCGGACAGCCATCCACCATTTTAGAAATAACTTCTGTCACCTGGCAGAAAACGGTGTTCGAGGATTCCCAGGATGAAGCAATGCTCACATTCGAAAGGAGGGGGAAGACGCGTCTTAGAACAAACTTGGGGCTAAAAGATAAACCAAAATAGACACAAAAGGAACTTTTGGGAAGCCCAATGTAGGTCACTGTAGCTCAATGAAGCCAGCAGGATCTAGCTTCCTTGATTGAGGGAGTGCTGGCACTTGCCTGAACATTTGCTCACATGTTTTTATACCAGAACCTCCTGAACTGGCAATTTCTGAAAATGGTCATTTACACTGCAACATCGTCATCATGTGCACCGATGATTTGGAAAGCATGTATTACCTGGGACGTGAGCTCTGGAGTTTATAGAGTTCTGTGCAGCATTACTTCATAATATGAGAAATTGTGATTGCAAACACTTTTAATGATTTATTCGTCATCCATCTCTTCAAGAACAATGACATCTTTCTCGGCGTCATTTCCTACAAAGATGGGCCCAAATCGCCTGCAATATATGCCTTTTTTTCACTTGCCGCCTTGGCGATAATCCATGTTTTCTAGTCGAGAGAAAGAAAACTTCTCTTCTTACACGGCTGTGCCATGCTGTCACATTTGCTGATGCAAGTGATCTGTTTCTGTTGTAAACCGCGCCAAATTGTTGTTAGAAATACATGCCGACTGGCACCAACCGACAATCATGCGCTGTGAACATGCCATCTTGTACAGATTTGACTTGGCTTGGCTTGGCTTGAGCTCAAGCCTGATGAAAATCAGCCTTTGTGAAGAGTTTGGAGGCTTCAGCGTTTTCACGGAACATTCCGCTACATCGTCATCACCATGAAACAATGTTTATGTTTCTGATATTTCCAGCCTCTGAGCAGCAGTTTGCATGGCATCTATACTTTCTTGTTCATTTTGGCGAATTTGGAAGCCAACAGATGATGATTTTGTGTTTTTAATTCCTAAATTCAATGACTGTTTAGTTTTTGTTCATGAAAACTTTGTTGAACCAAAGTGGTATTAGAAAAGTTTGTTGTGGAGAGGCTTTTTATACACTATCTTCTATGGACAACAAACTGAGAATTAAAAATACTTTGTTGTATAAATTTCATTGAAGCGACATTCGCTTTAGCGGGATTCAATTGCATAAGTATAGTACGCCTGTGTCTATATTCTCTTTTACCGCAAGTTGTGCATTGATGTCTGTTCCCTGAGATGGTAGTAACTACCGTAGTGCAGAAGTTGAGAAAGAGTTATAAACAATACTACTGTCACGAAAATAGGTGGTCACTTTTTAATGCCATTTGTCGTGGATATTTCTTGATCATGGAATGGTATGTATGGGGAGCTCTGCAGAGTAGTGTTCCCTATACATACTTGGAAAACATGCTTCCCCAAAAACTAGTAAGCTTTAAAAAAAATTCAAAGTATTTTTTTCTGAAGCTTCAAAACATGCTAGAAAAAAGCTTGTTACTACTCTAGCTTTGTAGGCAATTATACTTTTTGTTGTTGCTTTTCCAAACCAAGTGAAAGCTTAGGAAAGTTCCTGGTTTGCCCAATCCCTTTTTTAGTCCGTCCTTTAGGCCCTAAAGTACATGTACTTGTAGCATCGTCGATCAACTTGCACCGGAATTGCCCTGAAACCAGGATGGTGCACAGCGCTCCTTGGTGGTGCAGCGCAAAGTCGGTGCAAGATCAAGTAGAAACTGCACCGCTCTGCGGCGAGCCCCGCCATGTGTCACCTCGCGTTTTGTTTCTTTTTTCTTGCATTTGTTTGTGCGTGATGCCCGTGTGCTGTCAATTCCTCCTGATTTTTTACTTCTGGATTTAGCTGGTCCCACACAAATCAGCATTGTGGACGTGATTGTTGATGGGGTCACGAAGTTTGCCCATTATTGTTGGTTCGAGAAATAGTACCACCAGATAATAGCTGTACCTCGGTGTCATCGCAATGCCTCGCAACGCTTTCCACGAAGTGCATAGCTTTCGGGCGCTCCTTGTTGCCTCAGAAATCGCCGATAATTGCGGGGTGGTAAGCTCGTTGTCCTCGCCATCAGAAGAGCTGAGGAATTCATTGAGTGCCACTGCGAGGGGTGTTCGTTTTCGCAAGGTCGCCATTTCGATAGACTGAGCGTCTGCTCTTCCCGCCATCTCCTTGATTCCCGCTTCTGGCCGCAATACCTGATGGGACTGCACCCCTGTGCACCGTTGATTTTCTTGGTGCCCGTTGTGGCAACGAAAAGTCGCACCAGGAGGGTGCGCTCTGTTGATTGAGGATGTGCAGTGCGCACCGGTGAACTTGATTGAAGATGAAGGGGCGCGCACCTCGGCGCCCCGGTGCGCACCGGTGCGGATGATCGAGGATGCTGTTAAGGGTTTATGAAACAATGCTGAAGCAATCATCTTCTATTTCATAGGCCACTCTGCCATAAGATGGAACTCATCAAGAAAATTGTGTGTGATCCTACCCAAGACCCAACCCCTGCAGAAGTGGCTGTGATGTTGGGCAATGACATGTCAGCGCAGGGATCTGTGCCCACGGCCATCTACAGTTTCCTGAGATCCCAGAGACCCCTGACAGACTTCGAGGTAAGCAGAGTTTATTGGTAAGAACTTAGGACCAGCCCTTGTTTAAAACTCCCGTTGCATTGGCAGCTGACCAACTTTGCAGATGGAGGTTTATTTGCAAACTCTAAAAACCAGTCGAAACGACGCATTTTATTTTTATCTATTAGCACTTACTGTGTAACTAAATCAAACAGTTTTTTGTTGATGTTCATTTAGGTACGAAGACAACAGCTTGGCCTAATGCAATACAGTGAACAATTGAGGGTTCCATTAAATACCGATAAACTTTTAAAGTTATTCATACTTAAGGTGCTCATTCAAGCAGGAAGGTTCTATACATAGAAGCAGTGCGGTGGAAAATGTAAGACATTGAAAGTTCTGAAAACAGTAGGGGTGTGCGAATATTCGCAATTTTCGAATAACGAATCGAATTTTACCTTATTCGATTCGTTAATCGAATCGAATACTAATTTTCAAAAGTTTCGAATATTTTTCGAATAATTTCCGAATAGTCGTTATGGTGTCGCGCAGCGAGATTCTATTTCAGGCGTCCCACAACGCGCCGGCGCGCCTGCCATGCGTGCGGTAAGATGGCAATACATACCCTCTTCTCCTAGGCAATGATCATCATCATCGGCAGCATCAGTTTCTTTCTATTCATACGCTGCTGTTGCTTCCACTTTCGCACGAGGCTGATCGTGCACGCTTTCGGAAAGCGTGTCGTGGAGACGTTCAGGACTTTTTGCAACGGTGCCGTCGCTCAGTATGAGCGAAGTAGAAGTGGATAAAGTGGGAAGTTCTTCGATCGCTCCTGCGCTGCATCGTCGAAGTGCCTTGTGTGTGGCGCCATCCTGAAAACGCCAACAAACACGACAACGCCCATGTTGAATCACCTGAAGCGTCATCCGGGGGCTCGCAAGGAGTATGAAAGTGCAGCTGCTGCGGCGGAGCAACGTAATGTTCCAAAGTCCAAGAATTCAAGTACGATGCCGGCTTTCAAGCCCAGACTGAGTAATCAAAGCGTTCGCGCCCGGGCGCTAACAAAGAAAATTGGCTGCTTCATCGCAACTGGCCTACACAGCTACAGAGTCGTAGAGGAACCAGCTTTGCTAGAGCTGATGAAATGTGCAGTGCCTGAGTACGACGTCCCTTCTCGAACGACGTTTTCAAGGACTGTCGTGCCGGAAATGTACGATGCTGCCAGGTATGCTCTCCACACTTTGCTGCACAGCGTCCTAAGGAAGGACGTAGGCTGTATCGCCATCACCACTTAACGGCTGGACGTCACGAGCCGGCGACAGTTTTGTGTCAGTGACGTGCCACGACCTGAGTGAGGACTTTGTGCCTTACAGTTTTGTGCTTGCGTGCCGCTGCATGCGTGAACGCCACACTGCGGAGAATCTGCGTTCTCTGATCGAGGACGTCTTTGAGAAGTGGGGCATACCTCTGACGCTTTTTTGCTTTGTGGTCACTGATAACGCTCGGAACTTCGTTTCTGCGATTGCCCGAACGCCGTGGGTGCAGATTGCATGTTTTGCACATACCTTGCAGCTTTGCGTTCAAGATGCCAAGAAAGAAACCAAGGGTTTCGCAGATATGTGTACCAAAGCGCGAGCCATAGTGGGGCACTACAAACGCAGCAGCAGTGCAAGGGCAAGACTGCAAGATATACAAAAGAGGATGGGCATAGTTCCTCTTGAGCTGGTACAAGATGTACCCACAAGATGGAATAGTGAGTACGCCATGCTGGCGCGTCTGCTGAGGCTCAAGGCCGCTATTGCGTTAGACCTGGCAGAGACCGATACCGTTGAGAACTTGACCACGGACGAATGGCGTCTTGTAACGGCCTTGGTGTCAGTGCTGCAACCAATTGAAGAAGCCACAACAACTGCTTGTGCCGAGTCTTTCCCAACACTTTCCATGGTTGTTCCACTTGTTCACTGTGTGAAGATGTTGCTTTCCGAGGGCGCAAGTGGAACTCAAGACAAGGCGTTTTATCTTCTGAGATCAGTGAAAACAAGGTTCCTGGATGTAAGCACACAGGCACCTCATGCCCTTGCCACTTTCCTTGATCCTCGATTTAAAGACATCTGCTACAACAAGGAAGAAAAAGAGAATGTAGAGTCCCTACTAAGTACAATGCTTCAGGATGTATCAGACTCAACACAGCTCACGTCCGAAGAAAGTTGCGCCGAACAGCAATCTCAAGCCAGTGAGCAGCCTTCAGTGTGGAAGATATTGAACAGCTTGGCATCGTCGAAGAAGAATGATGCACCAAGTTGTCTAATGCAAGAGGTCTACGACTACCTACAGTCTCCAGTTTTGCCACGTACCGACAGCCCATTCCACTGGTGGCAAACTGTAGGCAAAGAAAAGTACAAGACCCTCGCATGTGCGGCGCAACAATACTTAACAATTTCCGCAACCCAGGTTGCAAGCGAGAGACTGTTCTCAACGTGCTCGAACACTGTGACAAGCCGACGAGAGTCTCTTGCTGCAGAACACGTGGAAAAGCTTGTTTTTTTGCATGGGAACTATAAGTATCTCAAGCTGACGTAACAAGCGTTCTCATTTCTTGGTCTGCGAAAATAAGATGTTACCTCACTTACCCATAGCTAGTGAAAATAACTTTGATAAGTTGTAAGATTGCTCTTTTTTTTTTTTAGTTCCACGTGAACTGTGATTTTATGTTCAGCACCAGCGTGAACTTTGATATTATGTTTAGCATTCTAACAATTTAGTAGTTTTTTTCTCTAATTATATATCGTTAACTCTAGTCATTATCGTCTAGTCGCTTTGTTACAATGATTTTAAGAAACATTTTGGAACAATAAACTAATTTTGTAATCTGTACTTTCCTTTAGTAGCAGTCTACTTATTATTTGAAAATTATTCGATTCGTATTCGATTCGGTGCCACAATTATTCGATTCGTATTCGATTCAGTTTAAAAAATCACTATTCGCACACCCCTAGAAAACAGAGGTACAGTAGAACCTCGATAATTCAATCTCGGTTTATTCGGATTCTCGGATAATTCACAAAATTTCCACAGTGCCATGGCTTCTCATGAAAATATGACCGGATAATCTGAGTGCTTCCCACGTGCCTACCGGGTTAATTCGTGGGGCTGTGGTACAGACCGTTACTGAACCGCGTGTAAGCGATTTCGCGAGCGACGGCCACATCGGCGAGAGTCAGCAACAAGCGACGGAGATTTCTCACTGTCACCCGTCGCATTGCTCATCGCCTTGGTCGATTGGTCACGTCGCTTTCATGTGGTTTGTCTCGTCGCGCGATTGACCGAGCAACAGTGAAGCGGGTCGCCGTTCATTGTCTCGTCGCTCGCCAAATCACTTACATGCGACCGGCCGTGGAGCAGGGAGATACCGCCAATGCTAGTGCCAGTATTGTGTCTGGGATTGGCGATAAGAGAGAGGAGCTTTGCTCCCGCATTAAGGACAGTGACGGTGAGTTGGTTGGCATACTTTCACAGACTACTTAAACATGGAAGAGAATGAGTAAACCTGCTCCGCAGACCTTGAAAGCGAAATCACTGAGTGTGACGGCAGAGATTGATGAAAATGATGAGCCGCCTCGGGCCCCCGCTCTAGGGGAAGTTATACAGTCGCTGAATGTTGTCCGCAGCTTTGGGGGATGTAACGGCGGTGATTCTGAGATGTCGCGCCTAGTTAGCCTTCTTGAAAATATGACGGTCGGCGCCGCTAATTACAGAACGCGGCAGTCCCATATCGCTGACTACTTTGGTTGATGTTCTGTCGTTTCGACTACTCGTTTTGAATAAAATGTTCCCTTCAAGGTTCAAGGCTTCACATACAATTTTTAGTCGGTTTCTTTCATTTTTAGATAATTCGCAAATCCGCTTAATTCGCAAATTTTTAATAGTCCAACCGACACCAAATTAACAAGGTTCTACTGTACTTTGTCTTCAGGTCGCTCTGTTTGTGGATGGTGCACATTCCACGCTCGTGTTTAAAAAAACTCGTGTACAGTGCAGTCTAATTATGATATTGAGAAAACCTGAGAATCTTGTTATAACAACCGATCATCATGGTTTTTGGACTGACCTTTAAAAGGGCCCAAAATAGTATTGCCATGCTTCTGGATGGAGGAAGTCGCTCAGCAATATTGTCACGGGTGGTGACCAAAAACAATAAATAAACAGAAAGAAATAAACGTTTAATGTGGCAAACTTGTGCCAAAAATAAAAGGGGTACAAAGAATAATAACAGAGCGTCGCGGGCGTCGAATTCGGCGAAACCACAGGATCGAGCGCTGGGGCGAGACTGACTCGACAAGGTCGCGGTCGGCCTGTTATCTAGAGTGCGTCGCTATCTCGAAGATTCGGCGAAAGCGGTTCGAGCGTCGCGTGATCGGGCGAGAATGAACACGCACTTTCTAGAAAACAAATGCAGGGATAAATGATAGAAGTTACGTGCGGTACATGAATAAACGGGAACTTTCTGGAGGACCGTGACTGAGCGTTGCTTTCTCAGCCTTGCGCGCGGCATTACTCCCCCCTTTAAAAGTGCATCGCCCCGATGCAGTGTAAAACAAATCAAAATAAAAAAAAGAACGATAAACTAAAGAGTCTTTTGGAGCACAAAAGGTCCACAGTCCTATCGAGCGTAGTACGGCTTCAGGCGCACGACGTGGACGACCTCAGGTCGTGGTGGGCGGCGTGACGATGTTCGTGTTCCGTCGGGCATCACCTCGTAGTTCAGCTCGCCGAGGCGACGAAGTACCTTGTATGGTCCAAAGTACCGTTTCAGCAGTTTCTCACTGAGGCCGCGGCGACGGATGGGCGTCCAAACCCACACCCTGTCTCCGGGCTGGAAGTGGACGTCCCTGCGACGAAGGTTGTAGCGGCCCGCGTCGACGCGTTGCTGGTCTTGAATCAGGAGTCGGGCGAGCTGGCGGACTTCTTCGGCCCGTTGAGCAACCACCTGGGCGTCGTCGCTCTCAATGTCAGCTGGCTCATGGGGTAGCATCGCGTCCAGC